CTTGCGTGCTTACCGGTTCGCCGTTGTCTCCGCTCTAAATATCATCTCTGTCCATCTCTCTACCTCTCTCGTTTCTCCCCTCCTTCTCCGTCTTCTCAGTATGCACATTGTAAGAGGTTGAATGCTTTGGTGAAGTCACTATGATTTCTTCAGTTGATAAGCTCGTTCGCCCGGCCAAAGTTCAATCAGATTCCGCGAGAACGAACATCGTTGAACTTGAGAGGCCGCAGAGCTCGAGTGATCTCGACACTCCCTTCTTCTCTCTCGGCGCCCTCTCGCATTATCTGAGAATGTTTTAAGGAATTTTTTACTGTAGTATTACGGAATGAATGGATGCACGCTCTCAAGTGGATAATATTCCTGTTGATGATTAGAATAAATCATGCATGTTGTAATCGCTTCTTCTTGGACTAAATACAGACTGATTAGGTGGATGCAATCTAATTTGTACTAGTGCCATGTGGACTGAACACTCCAATCCGACTTTCCGCACCCATGGGGGCCCCATCTTGGCCATTCCCCTATAACGAGGAACGGACACGTGTATGAGAGTGGGACGTACGGGAAGCCATCGCCAAGATTGGCGGATGATATTACTTCCCCCCAGAGACGAGGTGTTCTGGGTTTGTAGGCGCTGGTTTTGTCATAGTGGATGCCCACTTCCCTCTGTACTCGTTGTTGTTGCCCTGTAACGAGTTAATTGTCATCCCGTGGACGGCAGTGGCACCCCATTGGCCTAGCACTCTGTGCAGCGAATGTCGCCGCTGCACTGGACGTTATCGAACAAGGGGTTACAAGGGGGTTCCATTGCCGGACACGTGGTGAAGACGAGCACAAGGAATGAGCAACCAGGCTGAGACCTTCCACGTCGGATTCTGAGCTTTGCAACGAGCGATGCCGGGATCTGATTCGAAAACGAGATCCCACCTGCGTTCCATCGACCTTTCGCTCTAAGCGACGGCCGGTAGGCCGCGCAGAGGTGCGGTGATACTTTTTAGATTGAATAGGTGTTTGAAAATCAGGCACGTTTATTCCTTTTCCCGCACGACATAGACCCGTACTCGTTCAAACTGGAACCACGCGGGTGATCTCAGTTCCGTCTGAGTCCCCAGACTCAATTTCCCAAAACTCCTTGGCACACCCCATTTCACCGTCTTCCAGGGCCTTTTCCGCACGACATACAACTCCGACCGGAAGACAGCCTGAGGACACGGCGTGAGGTTTGCGCATCACAAAGGCACTCCCTTGAGTGCTGGGTTACGCCTGCGCCCTTTCCGCCATAGCTCTCACACACCTATGGCGCCTGGCAGGGTGAGCGCGTCGTTGAGAAATCCGAGTCCATGCATTGGTTAGAAGCTGCACTGCACTGAGCCACAAGTAGAGAACTGGGCGGCGGGCGCCGCCACCGCCGCTGTTGCCGCTCCACCGCTATGCCCATTGCGTGCGGACCCTTCCGTGAGAGGGTGTTTTTGCTTTCTCTACACTGTCAGCCCGTTCTTTCTCAGTGACTGGATGGAAAAAAAGCATGGCCGACTGTCAAAAGGGGTACCTGTTGTGGGTGTAGAATCCATTGCAACCTCCCAGGGCCTTTCTATTTTTTTGCCAAAGCAAAATGCCACTATTTTAGCGTCCCATACATCTTCTGCAGCAGCTTCCGCCGGGACATGCGAGGTACTCCTGCCAACCGGCCAAGCTCACGTTGGGCCTGGTCCCTGCTCAATCATGAGCATTGAGCAGAGACGATGGGGACGGCCAGACCACTCTCGAAAATGTGCAAAATGAGAATGAACTTCCCTCGAGAACATGGCCAGATGCACCCGCCATATTTTTGTCTTTTTCACATTTCGAGAGTGGTGTGCTGAAGCCCTATAGCAATGGCCAAAACATCAACAAAACTCTAACGGCATGCCACCGTGACGCAACTCGAAGCCGACACTACCTTCTTCCCCCGAATACAACGTAGTACGGTCATTATTGCTGAATTTGGCCCATCTTTCATTCTAAATACAGCTATAATGACCTTACGTTGTATTCGGTCCCTTTGGGGGAAGTAGGAAAGTTACTGAGGCAGATATTTTGTTGTAGGCTCCAGGGGCTATAACATAATACTATGCTTCATATATATATATATCGTCACAAACAGAACTGCCCGGTAAAACCATAGGCAGAGAGAGAGAAGAGGACAACAAACAAGGGGCTGTGACAAACTGTTTCGTATATATATATATACATATATATATCGTCACAAACAGAACTGCCCGGTAAACCGTAGGCAGAGAGAGAGAAGAGGACAACAAACGAGGGGCTGTGACAAAGTGTTTCATCGGAGTTTCACCGACTCATCAGGAGGCTGAACCCTCAACAGTCTGTAGAATCCCCTCATATATATATATATATATATATATATATATATTTTCAGCCCCTCATTTGTTGTCCTCTTCTCTCTCTCTGCCTACGGTTTACCGGGCAGTTCTGTTTGTGATGATATATATATGTATATATCATCACAAACAGAACTGCCCGGTAAACCGTAGGCAGAGAGAGAGAAGAGGACAACAAACGAGGGGCTGTGACAAACTGTTTCGCCGGAGTTTCACCGACTCATCAGGAGGCTGAACCCTCAACAGTCTGCAGAATCCCCTCACTGATTACACTGTAAATGATAATCTACCTTAACCAAAATCAAAGTAGACTATCACTCACCCACACCAGATGGAAAACTCTACAGACTGTCGGTTCACACCCCATCACAAGCCAGCAAAACATCCACGAAACAAAGAAAGGTCTGTCACAGCCAAAAAATATATATATATTATAGATAGATAGCTGTCTCTTATACACATCTAGATGTGTATAAGAGACAGATTATAGATAGATAGATAGATAGATAGATAGATAGATATATACTCCAGGGTTACGGTAGCAAAGAGAGCTCAAATTGAGAGAAGAATATAGCGAACTGCCATTTCGTGAAAATGGACACTGTTAATTATTCGAACAAAACGGACAGCGATATTTTTGGCCGAAAACTCGTCCAAATTTGCTGCTTCTGAGGGTGTCCAGCGTTCTTAAGACGCTGGAACCCTTGGATGTATGTGGACTTAGCTTTAGACAACATACATCCACGTGGTCCCCGACTCCCCGCTGGACGTATTTGGTCCCAAGCTAGGTCCGCGTGCATCCAGAAAGTCCAGCGTTTTAATAACGCCTGACCCTCAGGAGTAACAAATTTGGACGAGTTGTCGGCCCAAAAACAAAGTTTCAATTTCGTTCAACAAATACGAAATGTCCATTTTCATGAAATGGCAGTCAGCTTAGCAGCCTGAGATAATAAGAACGTAAAGGAGAAAAAAACAAAGGAAAGGAGAGAAAAAGAAAAAAAGAAAAAAAAGGAACACCTAGCTAAGTGCTTCAGTTTTCGTGCATCTCCTACTTAATTTTTCTAACGCCAAAAAAAAAAAAAAAAAACGACCTTTATTTTTTGCTGGAACAATTTAGATATATGCATCCCCTTAATTGTGGGAGGTAGCTACACTTGCAGGGGTAGACCAAGGTTTGACTGATTTGATGTTGACATACAGAAGCAAAATCGACGCATAGCACACGGAAAACTCAAAACAAACTCAGTCTGCTAATTAGAGTTAGCTTCCTCTTTTGCTACCGGGGAGCAGCTCCACCTGATGAAGCAGGTTAACTTTGGAGTGCAGCCCCTCAGTTTAGACCTCTTCTGTTGGAGAGAGAGAGAGAGAGAGAGAGAGAGACCCTGCAGCCCCTGAATCTGTTGGGGAGAGAGAGAGAGCGAATTTGGACCTCTTCTGTTGGGGAGAGAGAGAGAGAGAGAGAGAGAGAGACCGTAGAGATAAGATTAGGAGACTATAAGCGTGGACAATCCATGCATGAGAGAGAGAGAGAGAGAGAGAGAGACCGTAGAGATAAGATTACGAGACTAAGCGTGGACAATCTATGCATGAGAGAGAGAGAGAGAGAGGGGATAAGAAGGAGAATCCACAGAGAGAGAGAGAGAGAGAGGGGATAAGAAGGAGAATCCATGCATCACCTGGACAAGAACACCTTTGCTTCCTCGCAATTATAACACGGGCGGATTAAACATTGAAAATCGAACATTGAATTGCAAATTGAAAATGAATTTCTTGTACACTGTTTAATAAACGAGGTGCATTCAAAAATATTTGCCCCTCCCATCTCTTCCCCCCCCTCTTCGTTGGAGTCTCAGCATCATCTGATTTTCACCCATCCGTAATTTCCCCTTGGCGTCGAAAAGTGCTTCTTCTCTTCCTCTCTTCTCCTTCACCTGATACATCCGCAGATCCCGCCCTTTGGGGGCCATTGCATCCCCCGATCCCGACCAGACAGAATTTTCGGATGCGGGCTATCTTTGTCGTACCATCCCGATCTGAAAATTCGAAAATTCGAAAATTCGAAAATTCGAAAATTCGAAAATTCTGTAAAAAGCTGACGTGGAGGGCTCCCAGCTATTCTTAAAAAAAGATGACATCATCTGCCTACCTCTCTTCCTCTCCCTTCCTCAGCTCCGACCACTCTCTCTCCCTCCCTTTCCCCCCCGGCGCTCCACATCCTCGTCCCCACGCACCATTCTCCTCCTCCTCCTCCGTTATAATTCTCTCTATGTCCTCTCACTAAGAACAGCGACCACGACCATGATCTCCACTGCCGAAAAGCGGGAAAAAAAAAAAAAAAAAAAAAAAAAACAAGATGCGAATGCATTTTAACGATCATAGCTACTCCTCTGCGTCCGAAAAAGGGGAAAAAAAAAAAAAACGAAAGGGGGGGGATACCAAAAAAGGAGGAAAAAAAAAAAAAAAGAGGATGACAAGTAGGTTCAAAGCCCCCCCCCCGGCCACAGGAAACAGAAAAAAAAAAAAAAAAAAAAAAAAAAAAAAAAAACCGGAATCGAAAGAAAAGAGAAAGGTATTAAAAAAAGAAAAAAAGAAGAAGGTAATCGAAAAAAAAACAAAAAGCTACAAATGGCTCGTTTATCCTCATTGCTCTCCAAAATTAGGAGAAGACTTTAGGCGTACTCACAGTAGGACTTCTTTTTTTTCTTTTCATCACCGAGCTCTTGCCGTGATTGCGGTCAACTACATCCGAATGCGGCCGTAATTAAGGTCACATTCATTTAGGAAAAGTGCTAGTGTGAGTACGCCCTTCGAGCTCTCGGGTGAAGCCTCCTGTGCCGTGCCGCGCCGCGAAAACGACGAACAGATAATTCTGCTGCCGTCAACGAAAAACGAAAGGCTGGCATGAAGCAGCAGCGTGACACTTAGCCTCACACGTTCTTAACCAAAAAAAAAAAAAAAAAAAAAAAAAAAAAAAAACATTCGGAAAAAAAAAACACTAAAATTTCGAAATTTTAAAACTCGAACCTGCTCTACGCGTCTTTCCATTCTCTTCCGTTCCTAACTACATTCGCCCCTCGCACAAAAAAAAACGGCCTGTACATGGACTGGATGCCGGTTACGTTCTAAAAACGAAGCGAGACGACGAGAGGTCCACGTACACTTTCAAAAACAGTGTGATGCAAATGGAGCGAGGCCCGAATTTCACTTCCAGTTCAAGTCCTCCGGTCGGCTGATTCCCCCAAGCTTTTTCTGACTTCTCTCTTTCTCCATTCTGCTTCTCCTCCTCTTCCTCCTCGTTCTCGCCTCCTCTCCTCCTCTCCTCCTCCTCCCTCTCCCCATTCTCCCTCTCCTTCAAGTTCCCTACGCAGTGGGGACTTGCAAGCTCCGATCTGCCCACTCCTCCTCCTCCTTCTCTCCTCCTCTTCCTCGGTCTCTCCTCCTCTCCTCCTCCTCCTCACTCTCTCCTTCTCCTCTCCTCCTCCTCGCTCTCTCCTCTTCCTCCTCATTCTCCTTCTCCCGTACCCGGTTCTCTACGCAGTGGGGACTTGAAACTCCGATCTTCAGAGTCCTCCTCCTCCTCCTCCCATAGACGGTTTCCTAAGCAGTCGGGACCTGAAGCTGCGAGCTTCGAAGTCAAAATCTGTCGTTGCCTTGCACGGGGATCTTTGCCCTCCGTCACCATAGCTTTTAGCTCCTCCAAGCTCCTTCAAAATCCACCATAGCCAGGACTTCATCCGTTCCACCATGGTCATAGCTTCGTGGACCCCACCCCTAAGGACCTCATCTCCTCGTCAACAGCCGCCATAGCCAAAGCTTCAAAATCAACCATAGCCAGGACTTCATACGTTCCACCATGGTCATAGCTTCGTGGACCCCACCCATAACGACCACATCTCCTCGTCAACAGCCGCCATAGCCAAAGCTTCACACTCCAATATGTCGACGCCATAGCCAAAGCTTCACAGTCAAATCTGTCGCCGCCATTGGCAAAGCTTCACAGTCAAATACGCCATCCCCCACCAAGAGCTTCTTCCGCTGCCAAATTCAGCAACGGAGGGATTCTTTCACTCCATAGCTTCTTCAGCAGCCAAATTCAGCAAAGGACGGACGGATTCTTTCACTGCATAGCTTCTTCGTTGCCACCGTAGCCGCGGCCATAGCTCCCACCTTTCACACCTGAGCTTCTACGTCTCTCTCTCTTCTCTTTGTCGAGCTTCCACTTTCGCCGCTCTTGTCGAATACAAGTGCTTCCATAGCCACCACCTATTCGTTTCCATCCGTCCTCAACAAAGAGAATAGAAAGATATTCTCTTTGTCCTCACACACCATTCCTTCTCTTCTTCCTCCGCTTCCATAACTGCTTCGTCAGTGTGCCACCCTACCCTCTTCCCTTCCACCATAGCCTCCATATCCATCACTGCTTCGTAAGTGTGCCACCATAGCCTCTTCTTCCCTTACACCATAGCCTCCATTTCTTTCTTCTTCGTCGAAGACCACACCTTGCTTCTTCCTTCCACTCCAATGTTCGCCGAAGGCCGCCATGGCTGCTTCTTCCTTTCCCGCCATCGCGGCTTCTTCTTTTCCCGCCATGGCTGCTTCTTCCTCTTCCGCCTTCACCGCAATGACTGTTGCTTCTTTTCCCGCCATCGCGGCTTCTTCTTTTCCCGCTATGCAGGGCTGCTTCTTCCTCTCCTTCCTTCACCGCCATGGCTGTTTCTTCTTTTCCCGCCATGCACGCTTCTTTCTTTCCCGCCATCACCGCCATGGCTTTTTTTCCCCCCCCCATGGCCGCCATGACCGCAATTGCTGTTCCTTCTTTTCCCGCCATGCCTGCTTCTTCCTTTCCCGCCATATCCATTACACCTTCCTTCCCGCCATCACCTCGACTTGCTTGGACTTCGGTGCCTCCTCCCACTCCAAGGACCAAATGCACTGAACGTGGCTTCAAATTCAATTGACTTCGAGAGACGCATGCTCGTACTATTTTAGTTAATTCCAGAGGACGTATCTGGCCGGTATTACGAGCAACATTCAGATGACGCATCCGAAAACTTCCGTCGTCAGGATATCGCTCTTGTTGCTTCGCTGCGCCCTCCCACTCCACATTACCTACCAAATGCACTGAATGTGGCCGCAATTGCGACTTCCAGTGGACCACAAAGACGTCCAGATTCCGTTGACCTATTAAGACGTCAAAAGCGTGTCCCCTGTTACGTACGACCAGCTCATGATGATGATGACGATGATGATGATGATGAAGATGATGATGACGGATTACCCCGTACATACTTCTTGTGTAGTCCATGCAGGAATATCGCCGGAATTACGTCCAAATTCAGACGAATAAGGGAAAACACCCACAATCCGAAAGAAGACGGAATCGTGACCAACCCCCGAGCGACGACCTTTCCGATGACATCAACAGTTTGACTTCGCCGAAAGCGGGCTGTTCCCGTCAATGGCCGTTTGTCACCGTTACCCACCGTTAGCTGCTTCCACTAACTGTGTGCCAAACTGCGGGCACACACTCACACTATAGAGACTTTCCTGAATGTATCTGACTGAAATTACGGCCGAACCTGAATGTATCTGACTGCAATTACGGCCGAACCCGAATGCATCTGACCGCAGTAACGTCCAGAGCTGAGTCGAAATAGTCCTAATCTGAGTTATATGGGGCAAACGTTAACTGAGGCTAGCTTCTTCCACTAATTAAGATTTGCTGCTGCCACTGACTGAGTCATCATCATCATCATCATCATCATCATCATCAATCGTCGAAAGCTAAACGTAACGTTCAGCGGACAGCTGGCGACTCGATCTGGACCCGACCTCGACGCGTGCTATCGCGCAACTGACCGCAATTACGGCCGGAGCGCAGTGTATCTGACCCGAATTACGTCCAGATTGCGTACAAGTCTAAAAGTCGAAAGGGCCGTTCACTCGGCGAGCATGACAACATAACGTAACTGTGACCGCAATTACGGCC